GAACATGATTACTTTCCGCTCTTGTACTTTGCCATCGCCTTTTCGTATTTTGATTTCTCAGTTTCAGCCTGACCCTCGTATTTTGACCTGTTTTTGCAGGCTTCCCACCTGTGTCCAAGTTCCTTGGCAATGTCAGACACTTTCCACTCGGGATGATCTTTCTTAACCTTAGAGCGCTCATCTGCACAGAAAAAGAAGAAAGCCGACATTGGCCGCTTTGGTGCATTTGGATCCTTTTTCTTCTTCTTGTCTTTTTTACCAGCATCCTTAGGGGGACTATAACCCTTCATTTCACGTGCAAAACGCTCCTTGTCCTTGGCGGCCAGATCCTCGAACTTCTTCTTTTCTTTTACGCTAAGAGCCTGAAAACGATAGACAGCATGAGGAATAAGGGGCGACGACAAAACGTGGCAGAACAAGTAAAGGATATGGTACGAAAAGTTTGAGGGTGACTGACCTTCCATTTTGAAGAACAATCCTTAGAAAAGGCGGTGAAGTCAACACTGTGAGTAGGATTTTTCTTCTTTAGCTCATCTCTTGACTGTTGAACAAAAATGGCGTAGGGGGTCATCGCACCTTTAGGCTTGCTCTTATCTTTGACCATCTTAGAGGGTAACAAGGGACAAAGTAAGCTAGGAAGATGGATGAGGATACGAATTCCGAATTTCAAAATGTGACATAATACGGTTAAACAAAAACAAACTCTTAATTTTAAATTAAATTAAAAAATATATATAATTAAAATTATTTAAAAATTATATAAATTTGATTAATTTATTAATAGTTATATGCTATCGCATTATTGTTTTTCCATCTTATCTCTTCTTCAGATCTATTAGATATCCTCTATTATTTCACTTGAATTATATTAATAATAATAATAATTTTTGCGTATTTTTGATGGTTAACTTTGAAGCGCGTCATTATCGTCGTTGAAGATAAGCTATTAGAATGTCAATAGAAAAAAGAATAATCTACAATTGTTCCTTTACCGCTTCCCCTTAGGCTTTACTAAAGCTAATTAAGAGTTACAAAATACTGCATTATTTTCTGCAAGGTTTGATTTCTCTTTTTTCTTTAGTGATATTTACGTTTCCTACGAGTAAAATGAATTTAGGATGCTAAATTCACTGCAATTTCCTTTATGAATATTCTTGAGTACTGTGTAGTTTTCTATTTTATTTATAATAATTTTGAGCTAACGTCTGAAAGTTTACTTTGATTTATTCCTTTTCTTTATTGTTCTATTGATGCTGCGCTAGCTCTTCGCTCGAAGTTAAGAATACACTATGATATAGCAGATGTTTATATATACTATTTTTATCTATATATATTCTATTTCTTCCTTAGCACTTTGCACATTATATTTTAAGATTCGCCTATGAGGATCTACCCTATTCGACCTTAATTATAATCTTCACTCAAACCGTTTAATATGCACTTAAGTCTCCTTTGAATAAAAAGTATCATCGGAGTAAACTTTTAAAAAATTTATATGGTTAAAATTATT